AAAGGCGTCGCCTCTGCGCTCCCCTCTGCCCTTCTGTTCTGCGTCTCTCTCCCCTACGTAGGCTCCGTCGCCAGCAGGGAGGTGATGCGGGAGTGAGAAAGGGCAAAAGGGCGGAGGCCGGGTGGATGGCCGGTGGAGACGGGAGGATCGCATGGTGCAGGTGCAGGTGTGAGTGCAGGTGTAAGTATGTAAGTGCAGGCGCAGGCGAAGGTGCAGAGGCAGGTGCAGCGGCCGGTAGGTGCAGAGGCAGGCGCAGGACGCAGAGTAAGCGCACCTGGAACCATGATACCTACATAGTACCTCCCTCAGCCGGGCTACTGCGACATCACACGTCCCTTGCTCAGCCCTGCCATAGGGCAACATGCCGAAGCGCCAATGTGTGTGACGTCAAGGATAGCATGAGCAAGGAGATGAGCGATGGCTCCATCCCGGATCGAGCAAAGACAGACGAAGGAATCATTCTCCTGTGCCTCTCCCAGGATCGAGTCTAATGTCGACTGAACTTCTGGAAGCCCGAAGCTGTCGAGGGCTCGTACCTGAACGGGTTGTGACTGGTCCAACTGCCCCTGCCAGCTGAACGACAGCTCTTGGCAGTTTCTCGGAACTTGAGCCAATCCCGTGCTCGGAAAGCCATCTTACAGGTGCAACTGCGCTACTGCCCTAGCACCTCCTACATGGTATGTTGCCCGAGCCGAGGGGAGGTGCCTTCTTGCCTTCTCGGGGAGGTAGGTAGGTACTGCCTAAGGTACTGCCTACTACCACCTTAGCACTGGATCAGTGGCCTATCGGTTGACCCTGGTGCATCGACACAACCGCTTCCAAGCACGTCCGTTACCCGTCATTCAACTCCACCCGGTGATGTCTCATCACTGCCTAAGGTAAGATACCTTACCTAACCTGACCTACCTCACCTGGTACCTACCCTGGACCGACATCACCACCAACCCATCTGGCTGTCCAGCCCTCCAGTCATGGAACCAGGACGGACGATCGTCAGCAACACCCACCCCTCCCTTCCCACATCTCTTCAACCGCAGCCGCCAGTCTACCTTTTATGGCAAACCCCCACTCACTCAAGCGCATCCCAACAGGGCAACTTGACCGCGTCTGGTCTTTGGCTTGGCGATGGTTATTTGGAACGGAAGCTTGTCCGTGATACAGTTTTCTGGGCCGGCCATGGGATTCCCAGCTTCTGGTGCGCTCGCTGCGGGCCGCAGACTACAGACTGCCATAGAATGAAATGGAGTGTTTCCGGCATATGCCTTCCCATCCTCCCACACCTGGCCCATACCTCCTACGTATGTGCGACCTACCTAAATGGTGGGCCGCAGCCGCCGAAAAGTCGAGCACAGCCTGCGATGACATAGGGCCAGCCCAATCTCTCAACCGGTGAACATCAGGGGGTCGGTACGGAACCCTCTCTCCCCAGTGCCGGTTGATGCCCTCCGAACCCGTTTCTCCTGACTCCCAAGTCCGTGGATACCCCGGGTCAAGAGGCTTACTCTTGGCCTCCCCTAGTACCACATAAAGGACTCTGACGCCAGCCAGTACCTGACAAGTTCTTGCTGCCCTCGAGGCTTTCCCGAGTTGTTCGGACGGCCCCTCAAAACCCTGTCCCCCATCCCCTGGATTTGACTGGTCTCACTCAGCCCTATGACTTGACTTTGGGCTTTGCCTTATACCCTGCAAGAGGCACGAATCCAGCTCGAGAATACACAACGCATCTTCAACCCTCATCATGTCGCTATCTTTTCCATCAGAGTCCTCGTCAGAACAGTCTTCTACCAGAGCGCCACAGGCGTGTGGCACTTGTAAAAGGCAGAAGCGAAAATGCGACAAGGCCTTGCCGTCGTGCGGCCTCTGTGTACGCATGCGCAGGCACTGCGACTACACAGATGCCGTACCCGCTCCGACCCCCGAAGACTTTGCTGCTCTTCAGTTGAAGTTGCAAGAGCTCGAGACTCGCCTGAATACCAACAGCTCGGGTTCTGTGGCAAGCCTTGGAGGCTCGCCACCACCCAACGCTGTCCCAAACTACGTTCAGGCCGACTTTTCGTGGCAACCGCCCATCTCGGTCCAGTTTCCAGCGAGTCTCTTCCTCGACCTGTCCACTTGGAAGCGGATGAGAAGAGTCGTGCCAAAGCCCGTAGTCGAGATACCCGAGGTATGCTAGCACGTCAGGAGTATGCCAGCATAGTCCGGCTGAGTGAATATGTCAACATGCTGATCCTTGGACAGGAAGTCCTCGCGCAGCTAGGCGAGCCCGCTGAGATTCAGCAAACCATCAACGAATATTTTGTTACAATACATCTCTGGCTGCCTATCATCTCGAAAAGCCGTATGCAGAACGGCCACTCCCTTCTGGAAGGGGGTTCGGACCTAGCGATGCTGTTCCTGGCCGTGAAGCTGGTGACCACAGTTCCAATACCCTCCGTCGCCGCTGCCGATCACTACATCTATCTGACGGCAAAACGATTTGTTCTGTCGCTTGAACACGGCGGTGTCCCCTCAATCATGGTTCTACAATCAATGGTCCTCATAGCTATCTATGAGTACAGTCATGGCATATATCCTGCGGCATGGACAACAATCGGGGGCTGTGCTCGGTATGCCGACTTTCTAGGGTTGCCTGACGTTCACGAAAGCTCGATACTCCTCAATAGCGCCGTGCGTTCCCCCGCTCAACGAACGCTTGATCCCCCTGAAATAGGGTCTAACTCGGTGCGTAGACAACATGGGTCGAGCTTGAAGAGCGTAGACGGACCTGGTGGGCGATCGTGGTTCTTGACCGAATCGTCTGCCTCGGAAACCAGAAGAAGTGTATCCTTCCTGATCCGCTCGAACACGAAATCTTGCCAGCAAATGATCGAATATGGGTATGGAACGCAACATTGCCTGCAAGTCGGTTCGTTCAAAACGTACTAATTTCATCTGCAGGACGACGATAGTCCCTCGTTGGTTACGCAACGTACAGTCGCATCCCTGTTTACTGGAGATCCCAGCCCCTTCTCACGGCTTTGCGAAGCTGCAACGCTCGCATCTCGCGTTTTAGCGCACGTTCGTTTGATGCCAACATCTCAGGAAAACACAGATCAGCCGCTCTTAGCTAGTGCCGCTATGTCATTATTGGACACCCTCTTGCATGCATCGTCGGTGGTGGACGGGGAAGCAAACGCTAGCCGGCAAGGCTACTCGCTGCCTACATTTCACACTGACCCCTTCTTGGCTTCGACAAGCTGGAATCCTTACTTGGCCCCGCAAGCCGTACTCCTATCTGCGACGCTGCTGCTACAGGAGACGTACAGTTGGCCACCCCCATATCCTCCCTCCTCAACACAGGAGGCAAATCTACGACACAGAGCACTCCGAGGCCAGCAGACAACTAGTAGTCAGGTCATCAGTCTACTGAGCCGAGATATACTCTCCCAACTTTTACATCCATCCCCGGCTCCGGTTTCAACAGTCCGTCTGGAGTTGGGACTTGACACTGACCACGCTTTGCTTGACAACAGCGGCTCAATACTTCGTCGTGTGAGCCCCTTGATACTTGACGCGCTGTACTCCGCTGCAAACAACTTCTCCTGGCTGGTCCAAGAAGAGCATAGCGTGGTGGTGGACGCTTCAACAATCGCGAAAGAGGGTCTCGCCAGCATAAATCAAAGATGGAGAGTGGCTGGCGAGTATCTTCATATGCTCGAGCAAGATTGGCAGGGTCCATGAATTATGGACTGCAAAACGAATAGGCAGGTACTCGATCTTTGAACCCGATACTGTACACTCGACCTGTATAAACCCTAGCATTTGATCTCTCTCCCGGCATTCGAGATCTTTTCCTGCGTCAACGACTTACTTCCTATTTCTCGTCCCTCAATTTCCACCCCTCAACTCGACCAAAATCGCTCCGGTCTTACGATTATGCCATTGTACCTATGTGTGCGCCTGAACGGCGATACTGCCGCGGTACGGCCACCTCGTGCGCATTCAGGGGCATGGGGAAATGCTGCTCTCGAGGGTTCATCGAACATGCGAGACCCCGTTAGGCTGTGTGCTCAGCGGTGTCGACACCTGCTGAGGGGAGTAGATCTGCCCATGATGCGCCTGGGGCTGGTTCTGCTGATGCTGTTGAGTGCTGCTGTCCGTTCCGTCTTGCTGCGCGTATGGAGGAGCGTTGTGCGCGGTGGCTGTGTGGTCGGGCTGGTAAGCGGCCTGGATGGTGTTCTTTTCGTCGGCGATGGTGTTGCGAGTGCCGGGCAAGTTCTGCGGGGTGCAGTGCAGGCCGGCTTTGCGGTGACGATGCAGCACTGTACTGTGGATAGCGAGAGAGGTAACAAACAGGGCGCTATGTCCTAGGTGTGAGCAGCAGCCCGTCAAACCAGGAGTATGATGAGGAACTTCCAAAAAGAACACCAGGAAGAGGGAAGAAGAAGCGGACGAAATAAACGGAGAAACTCACAACTGCAGTCCGCCGATCGCAGACGCGGCCGCCATACAGGCAGCAAATACAAAGTACAGACCCGTCGGCTCGGACGAGTAACAGTCATAGACGTTGCAGTAGGTGGTGCCGCTAAAGACGAAGGCGGCCTGGGAGGCGAGGAGGGCGAATGCGCAGAGCCAGAAGACGACTAGGAAGATGTCGAGGGCGAGGACGGCCCAGTAGTTGTAGATGCAGGGTAGAGAGTACTCGGCGACGACGAGCCAGACGGTAACGATGAGGGTAGCGACGGCGACGAAGAGCATGAGGCAATTACCAGAGATCGGCCAGAGGTAGGCACCAAAGGCGCAGAGTCCGAGGGCGATGAGGCCGAGGGCAAGCTGGACAATGCGAAGGGCGATGAAGCCGCGGGGATAGGCGGGTATATGCTCGCGGCTTGCGAGACGCTGGGCGGAGTACCTGCTCGCGTGGGAGTCTGCCATGGTGGCGAAGAGGGGGCTTAAATGCTTTCGAATGTGTTTGGGTTGGTTACTGATAGCTGTTGCGAGAAAACAAATGAGACGACGACAATCCAGCGGTGATAGACTTCCAAGTTCACCTAGGGATTCGTGCCCGTCTATCACAAAGAGGGAAAGCAGGGTAAGGAGACAAGAGATGGTTGGGACGTTGAAGCTGCTTCTCGAGAGGTGCTCACTCATGCTATGTAGTGCCTCTATCCATGGTCTTTGAGAGCCGAGAACGAGGCGCCTTCGTAAAACCACAAGGTGACTCGGTCCGGCGCAACTGCCACGACTCAGCTCGAGAAGCAATCTTCATATAAGGACCCTACAAACTATTCCTTTAAGCCACCATCTACCCCGTGCTGAAAAGCGGGCGTCTCTGTCTGCCTCGTCGTGAACCGTGGCTGTTCGAGATCGCGGACAGACAGCCGGAGGGCGCCATCGAGAGCCAATAGAGGCGCATCGGATTGGCCGCTACTGTGCTGCGAAGCAGGGAAGTTGTGTATTGTCACATCCTGCTGGCGTTGTGGTACTATTTATCCTCCAAAAGTTCATCAAAGAGCAAGGTGGTGCCGCGATGCGGCTGAATGTGGCCATCAGATTCAAAGCTCATAGGGAGAGTGGGTTTCTTTTCTGCGACAGAAGCACGACGGGCTGAGGCTGGCGCTGCATACATGGTTACACACTCCCCCCTTTCCTTCCCCCGGTCTTTCACTATGTGATCCAGGTATCATACTTGTTGAAGGCCATTCCCAAGGCTATCAAATTCGGAGCATATATCTAGCGTCAGTTGTCCGAGATGCGCAAGTGCCGCAGTAGACGGGAAGGGAGGTGTCAAAGGAGAGCGAACAAGACAACACCATGCGAGGTTGGGGATGCTGAGAGTGAAACCTGGAGAGTTCTAGATCACGACCGAGCGGACGACTGCTCCAAACACCGTTTCTGCAACACACTCACGCAGACACCTTCAGGCACCTTGCATTGCTGTGTCCCAGCTGAGCCGCTGCTGTCATTAAAACTGAAGCCCACTCAGCGGCAGCTTCCATAGCTCGAGTCAATAGCGCCAAGCCTCACCCTACGGGGTTGGCTGATATTGGAACAAGTCTACCATGTGCCGTCCGCACACGTGCCCTCCTTGGCAATGATGTTTAGGGCCATCATCTTCAACGCCGGCACCAGTCACATATCGCTGTCTCAGCCAGGGTGGCGAGGTACGCACGGGAGGGTTTCTTCTCTCATAGCCATACTCTGTCTCGATGAGATGAATGCCAGAGGCGCTATAGCCTTCGTCCCATGGCCATGTAGTAGACTATGAACAAGTCATCAGAGGATCTTGCATCAACAAGAAATCACAACCAATCAACCAACGTAAAAATCTATCAGTACTTCCATTCACACCCGGGCTCATGCCTCACGGGGCGTCACTAACATTAGACAGCTCCACCCATTGCCATGCACTTCCTTCCTCCATCATCCCCCATCATGCCCGGAGTTGCTCGTCACGCATAATGCGTACATGTCCAAAGTCCCTGGCCCCTGGATCTCATCTCCAGTCATCCCCTCCCTTCCACCGTAAAACGAATGCCCTTCCTGCGCTCGTACCTGCGCCTGTGATGCGAAGCGAGCGACTTGGGAAGTCAACGCTGGCTTTCTGCATGGAAAGCATAAAAAAAAGTATAACCCCGCGGACTTAGAGCCTCGGAATCGAAAGCCCACTCGGCGCGCGGCCATGCTCAGGAATGGCTTGAGCCCCCTGAATACATAACCCTACATTCCGCTTCGGCGGCAAGGAGCCAATAAGCAGTACTAAGCTTCAGCATGGAACCCATGATTCAAAAGCTTCTTTGATTTGATATCAAGCGTGCGCCGAGTTTACGTGGCGTGAGAGGCTTGGCTGAGAACCGCGATTGCTGCGGACGGCAACAGCTTCTCAAGCAAAATCGTCATCAGCTCCGTTGTTCATAACGAGCCGGTCAACCCGCTGCACAAGCTCCTTGGTCTCCCGCGCAATCTCGAAGGCGATGGGCGGCAAAGTCTGCGTCCACATCCGCCAGTCCCGTTCGTTGGTTCCTGACGAAGATAGGTCGATGCCCTGGTCATTGGCCTCTAGCAGGCGGTCACGGCATGTTGCCAGACGAATCGTCAAGTTGCCGTTGCCCGTGCTCTCGGTTTCGGCGACGACCTTGCTCACAACATTGGTGATGCCATCGATTTCCGACGATATTTGGGAGATGGTGGCGTCGCTTCGAATGGACCCGACCAAATTCTGAATATTCTGGACAAGAATAGCTGTCTGGTCCTCCAGGTAGATTTTCAGATCCTCGTAGCGGCTATCAGACTGACCGCCGTAGTTGTTGGCTGGCGCTGGTGGTTGTGCCTTGTTCAATCCCATATAGCCCATGCCGTTGCCCATGCCATTGACTCCACGAGAAATGGGCCGGCGGCCATACGGATCAGCAGACTGGCGGGGAGAGCTCACGGGGCTGTAGGCAGATGAGTCGACGCTAGCACGGTTCGCACCCAAGCCCTGGAAAGGAGGCGGCGGCGGAAGGTCCTGAGCAGAGATGGGTTGCTGCATCGAATTGGTGCGGGGAGAGAAGAACCCAGTCGAATCAACAGGCGTGATGGTGCCGTCGTCATCATCCTCGAGCTCGCCGGCAGGAGTAGCTCGTATCTTGACAGTCCGCAGAAGGTCAACGACTGCGGCGACCAGATGGGAAGCCGCGGCATCGAGTAGAGATACCGGTGAGATACCGGCAGAAGCTGCAAAGTTCTTCGACGCCGTGATCATCGCGTTTGCAGTGGACGAGACCTTGCCCTTCAACTTGACCTGCTCCTGCGCAACCGTCTCGTCGTGGGGAGGAGATTCCGCCATGTCCTTCGTGATCCGCCTGACGCTAACAACAACATGCTTCATAGCATCAATGATCTTCTCCGGGTCGTCAGCTCGTGCTCGCTGAAGAAGCTCGTCGATTGAGATCTGGAACTTTGTCACATGAACGTCCTTGACGAGTCCGTTCTCTTCGGTAAAGCCCTTCTCGCGAACGTATTTCCCAGCGTCCTGATCGATGGTGAGGCCGAGGGATGAGGCTCTGAAATTGCGCAGCTGTGTCTTGGTGCGAGCATAGCGATTTCTCCAATCACGGACTTCCTGCTCAAGCCCTTCAATGGTCTTTTCCATTTCGCCCTGCTTCTCCCATGTCGTGCCGCTCTGTTGAGACAACATCTTCATCTCTCGCAGGAACTCTCTGGCTTCCCTGCGAGCCTCGTCAGTGACCTGTTGTTGCTCTTCCAGAGCCTGTCGCAATTGCTGGTTCTCCTGTATCAACTCAGGATCCGACGGCCCATTGCTTGATGTCGATGCTTGCATGACGTTGACGTTCATGCTCTTCTGACGCATCTCCTCCAACTGGTCTCTCAGGTCCCTTATCTCGTTCGCGTGACCGTCCCTGATACGGTCCATATCGTCTTGAATGCGGTCATGCTCTTTTCGCAAACGATCATAGTCATTCCGAGCGCGATCCTGATCTCCTTGAGCGCGGTCAAGCTCCTGTCTTAACGAATCGTTGAGGCCCTGGGCATCTGCAAGCTGTTTTTCGAGATTTGTGCGCAAATCGGTCCATTCTTGCTTCTCCATGTTGTTGGCCGAGGCACGGGACCGTTCGCCATCGAGCACTCCAGCCAGCTCATCATCTTTTCTCTTTACTGCCTCTTCCATGATGTCGAGGCGTTCAGTCAGATCCTTGACCTGATTCCGATAATCCTCCAGCATTTTCTTGTCAGCCTGTTTTGTGATGTTAGTATCTTCCCAGAAAGCCGTGTAGCAGAAGGCAAGAGTTTGTTACCTCGGAGGTCTCCGTAGTCCGCTGGCTCTTATCACTTGACCTGTTCCCATTTTTGTCCAATCCGAAAGCGTCGCGATCTTCGTCGTTATCTGGGCTTCCGTCATCATCCTCCTCCACCATGGTGCTCTTGTTCGGGACAATGGTGTTGCTCTGAAACTGCTTCTGCATCGGACGGCCATAGTCACCGTTGGGCAGACCTGGCGATGGAGGAACGCCATATGGGTCTTGGGGAGGCATGACACCGCGGATGGAGCTTGCATCGGACGGCCGTCTCATACGGCTTTGGTTTCTTGGTGGGAAGCCGTTCTGCATAGCACTCAGCGGCGTGCCCGATCGGCTGGGCGGTACGCGCATCGACATGTTGCTGCCGGGACGCGGGATGTCTCCTGCTGCAAAGCGAGGATACCTCCTTTCCAACTCGACATAAACGTCTGTTGCTAAGTCTCTGAAGCGAGGAGGGCCGAGCGAGGAGAGCTTCTGGCGCGCCTGGTTGCGTTTGGGGTGGAAAGTTTGCTCGGGTGTGAGGTAAGGAGGAGGACCCTGACCATTTGGGCCAGGCGGCCGGCGCGCGAGGGCTTGCCTCCTAAGCAGTTCGTCGAAGACATCAGTACTGAGCTCAAGGAACTGCACGGCAGACAAGCGCAACAGCTTGTCCTGGGCCTTGTTCAGAGGCTTGCTTGTGTTTCCATCGCGTCCGCTCAAGTAGTCCTTCAAGGCGACGTAGTGTT